GGGGCAAAAACCGGGCATTTTAGGAAACTTTTTTGCGGGCAAGGGTGGGGGGGGGAACAACCGTTCGAATCTCCGGCAAAGAACAGCGGGTGCCTCCGCGGGGGGGGTCTCTTTGGGGGATATTAATACCCCCCCTGGACACCCTCAAAAAAGATTTTTCAGGCGGGCGAGAGGCGCGAGATCAAAGAAGTAGCAGACAAGAAGGAGGAGGGGAATACGCGCGCGCACGCGCACGGGCACCCACGAAGGCACGCACGCACGCACGCACGCAATTTTGTATACACACACACACACGCGGGCGCGCACGGGGCGGCCTCTGACGCCCCGTCTCTCAACCCCCCCTTATGCCCCCCAATCCACCCCCCAATCCACCCCCCCCCCCTCCCCCCTCCCCACCCTCACCCCGCCTGCTCGCCCCGCGCCCGTTTGGCCCTCAGGTCGACGGTGCTGCCGCCTACAAGCAGCTCGGCGACAAGGTCAAGCGCGAGGGGCCCGTCGTCCTCTACCAGGGCGCCCTCGCCAACGCGGTGCACACACACACACACTCACACACACACACGCACAGAGATACTCTCTCTCTCTCTCTCTCTCTCTCTCTCTCTCTCTCTCTCTCTCTCTCTCTCTCTCTCTCTCTCTCTCTCTCTCTCTCTCTCTCTCTCTCTCTCTCTCTCTCTCTCTCTCTCTCTCTCTCTCTCTCTCTCTCTCACTTCAGCATAGCGAACCAATCCTCGCTAACCCAACGCCGCCAAAGGGGGCCCTGAGTTAGCAATTGTCCTCAAGTCTGGACCCTTCCTCTCTTGGCGTCAGTGCGCCAATCCAATCGCCGGGATCACTTCGTTCACTTGCCCATGGGGTGAGGCTGTTGGCACGGGTGCGTGGGAGACAAGTCGCGCGGCGTGAGATCTCAATGTCTCGGAGGCTAGGACCGGAGACGGCGGCAGCGGGAGAGGGAGGGAGGCGTGAGTGGCCGGCGATGAGGGTGATCTCCCCGATCTCGCGAAAGGTGGCCTCCTTCGTCGGCTCGTACCCCTGGTTCTTCGCCTTCAACCTGGCGATGCGCTGGCTGCCCGCCGCGCCGGTCGGCGACCTGCTCTTCAAGCTCGTCCGCTCGGAGGAAAGAAACACGGCGCGGCAGGCCGCCACGCGTGTTCTCTTTCTTGTAGGCTGGTCCGCTCGGCGGTCGCCGGCGTCATCGCCTCCTTCGTGTCGGACGTCTTCTCCAACTTCATCCGCGTGCTCAAGACGACGCGCCAGGTCCGCAGCGGGAGAGTGGGGCCCACCTCCCGGCGCACTCACCTGACACACACCACCAACATGCGGGCGGCGGCGAGTCTGCGCCGCGGCGCTGGCGAGAGGCCCCGCCATCACGCCTCCCTCCACCCGCCTCCCCGCCTCCCTCCCACCTCCCTCCTCACCCACGCGCACCGGGCCTTGCACTTCAAATATGCCGTGCTAGCTCCTGCCCGTGTCCGGGGGCGTGGAGATGCGAGGGACCAGCCTGGCCCTGGCCCCACCACGCTGTGTGCGTGGAGGCGTTGACCCGTCCCCTCCACCCCCCTCCCCGCCTCCGCCTCCGCCCTCGCCCCCGCCTCCCTCGCCCGCTCCCCCCTTGCCCCCCCCCCCCCCCCCT